CCGTAACGGCGCAACACTATAGTTTCATTATACCTACAGCGAAATACAGATAGGCGAACCTAGCTGATCACCATCATACTCACCATATACAAAAAATAAGTAACAATGAGTAAGACGGATGAGAAGTGGACCTGCTTTGAGGGAAGGAGGAAGAAAGTGAACCCCGATGAGAACAAAGTTTAACTGTGCAAACACACACCTCTTCAAGTAATCTGGCCGGATTAGAAATGATAATCAGAATGCCACTGCTGTTAGTTTGCTGCCATGTTACTTAGTAGTTCCAATCAACCAGTTACCAAGTCCATCGGATCGTAACCTGGAAGACCAGACACCTACTCTACTTTATCCCACCGGAAAGTTCATCAAACCTCGTCATCTGCTTACATCTACGTGATTTTCGCCACTGAGGAGTGGCAACTGCAAGTAAGATGCATTGCAGAAGATGACTGTAAAGCACTGCTGCTGCTGCTTTATGTTACCGCTTGATAGTAAAACCACATCATCAACCCCGTCTTTATATTCTCTTACATTTGGTTAATTTTTGTTGTTACTTAAAGTGTTTGGGCCTTTATCTGCTTTAGGTTGGTGATTAACACACATAAACCGGGTGATTTAATAGGTCGGAGGCAAACTGTCCACCAAAGAGCTCAACTGCAGTTTATTTGTAGCTCAAATTGGGTCAAAAATGGTGAAGCATAGTCTCAATTCACAAATCTATTTACCACATCACCCATCAATCTTTGAATAGTCTTTGGGTTCTTTATGACCAATAAACTTGATTTTTCCTGTAAAATCCACCAGGAAGGTAAGAAAACATCCTCATCGGATCAAATTACATCTTTATCTAAAGAAGGCTATCAAAACAAAGTGTGCTTCCATCATTCGGTATAGTTCATGCACTTCGACCAATTCGGATCGATCAATGGTGAACCGAAGAAAGATTTGTAAAGCTGGAAGGAACGATGAGACAGTACGCCGTGTATGGAAGAATAAATGTGATAAAGTTTCTCAGGTAATTTCCGGAATGAAAGCTGTGGGTTCAAAGACACCAGTCATTTTGCACAATTATCCAACCCCTGCGATATATTCTCTTCTGACCCGATCTAGTGTGAATTAAACGTTCTTTGCATTTTTCCACTAATGAAGCAGCCGATTCTTATTTAAAGGGATTGAGTGGCTTGAGTTCTTCATATGTTTCTAGAAAACTCAGACCCGAAACGTTCAGCCAAACGGAATGCGCCCCGTCACCGTGTGTTAGGCTCATCTGGTCGAAATTGAGAAGAGATATGCTTTTCATGACCGGCAAAAGGTCGAACCGCAACGGTCAACGTTCTCCCACCAGATGTAAAAACGATTCTGGGTGAAAATGCTTGTAAAGGTAGCTACACCCAATTAGGTCGTGTACTCTGAGTGTTGACCATATATGATCAATTTCTTTGCTTCTCTCCAACTAAGCCCAATCCCCTTAAACATTCCCACTTACTTCGCGTATAATGTGGGCTGGGCAGCGGTCAGGGAAACCGCTTCACTGTATTTTGCTGTGCGATGATGATTAATGGATTTGTAGGTTACGATCATGCTTCACAAACGAGTGGAAGACCCGATAACCACAAGGATACCAGTGGGGATTGAACCCCACAAATTCATTTGATAAGTAGAGAAAGGTTTTTCAGGTACTGACTGGTTTACAACCTCCACCACCCTGTGAACACCTAGAAATTTATGAGAACTACGATAGATCCCGATAAATTTACCAGAACAGTACCTGATAATAACTTAAACTGTA